ATACTCTGTAGTGTGTTAGGGCATTTCCAAGACAAGCATGCTTGTTCGATTTATACTGAACCAACAAGAAACTGTTAACCCAAACGTCATCCTCTCCATCCTGCTGGAGACCTTCAGTGAATGCTTTGTTGTTTTCAGATATTGTTAGAACCCTGAACTCTTAAAAAAAAAAAAAGTCTCCCAGCCGTTTTAGGGATGTGAGGTATTGTTAATCTCAAATTCAGAAGGCTGGCGGGCTGATTTTGCCTGTTGAGGGAAGAAAGACATCCTAATGTAGTGGGATGGGAACATTTCATTGAAAAAGTGGAGCTGGCTGCAAATCTGAGGAGTTGGCTTTCTTCTGTCGTTTAAACTTTTATTTTGAAATAATTTCAAATGTATAAAAAAAGTTGCAAGAATAGACTAAATCAAAGGACTTTTGTATGTTTTTTTAGATTTGCCAATCAATAACATTTTACCACAGTTGCTTTATCATTCTATAATATATGTAGGGATGGTACATGTGCTATTTCCTTGGTCAGTTTTGTTTTAGCTTTGTAATAAGAGATTCTCACAAGTATTTCTTCCAGTGCCAACAGTAATTGAAAATGTCATATTCTGAAATTGCTCCGTCTTTTCCGTGAAGCTCATTGGCCAGCATTCATTTTCTTCTTTTTCCATGTAATTTAAACATCCTCATACAGTTTAACATCATCCCAAACTTTCACTCTGGTGGCGGGGGGCAGGTGTTGGTGGCAGCTGCTGGGAGAGGGGTCGTTGTACATGAGTCTGTAGTGCGGTAGGCAGGGATGCAGACTGAGAGCCGGCAGAACTGGAAGGGAGCTCGCAGGCCAGAAGCTAGTGTGATGATGCCTCATGATACGGATGAGAACACTGAGGTTCCAAGTTACTGAATGCGTTAACTAAAGTTTCTCCAAAGATCTGGGACTGGTCCCTGAGTCTTCTGCCTCAATCTGTGGGTTGGTTTTTTTTTTTTTTTTCTGTTTCTTTACCTTTTTGCTTGCCTCTCCAGATAAATAGCAGAATTCTCTATGGGTAATATCTGTAAATACTCTTAAGTCATCAGTTCTCAAACTTTACTGTCAAGACAACTTTCATGCTTAAAAATTAGGAAACTTTTGAGGAAGGGGATAGGTTCACCTTTGAGGTGATGGCGCCTAGGTGTTGAAATTCATCAGACTGTGCAATTTAAAGATGCACAGCTTATTTTCTTTCAATTGTACCCCAATAAAACTGTTTGTAAAGTTGAGAATGACCCCAAAGAGCTTTTATTTGGATGGGTTATATCTATCAGTAGTTCCCAAACTGCATATTAACATTGAGAGACTTTTAAACTATCATTTAAACATAACAACAGTAAACTCAGTGTTAACAGTTTAAATACGCATAGCTCCCCCACCGTTTAGCGGAGCTCGGCGGTGAGGCTGGTGTTCTGCATCTCTCTAACGCCCTGCAACGTCGGCTCTAGCAGAGGACGGCGACCGCGCGCTCCGCCCGCCACGGCACTCTGTCTGCGCTGCAGTGTGTGACGGGCTCCGGTGCGCGCGTATGTGCCCTTACGAGGAGGAGAATTTAGATTAACTGGATTTTGTTTTGATTTGACATCAAATCTTGACGGATGGTGATTTCTTCCAGGTTGTTGCAATGTAGGACCTGAAACGATGAACTTTTTGCATTGTGCTATACTAAAACCAACTGGTTTATTTGCCCTTGGAATGGGTCTTACCTGATAGATTTATTCCGGCTTTGATATAGAGATATTACTATGTAATCAGTTGGTACTTTTAATATTTTAGTCACTTGCCTTTTCTGTTAAGTGCCCCAGTTTCCAAAAAATAGAAACTAGCCCCCATCTTTTCCCATTTTACTTTTATAGGAGAACCAAGGTTTCTAGAGTTGTTTCCGTTGTATTATGTAAATTGCCTTTTGTTTTGAATTCCATTTTTCATTCTTTTACTGAAATAGATTCTGGGTTGCAGTTATGCTAACACACACACACACACACACACACACTTATTATGAAGGCCGTTGCTACTGTGCAAGGGCGTCTGCCTGCTTTTGCTGTGGATTTTTGGGAAGGAAATGAGGTCAGTGGCAGTGAATGAAGCGGTGGGGGCGAGCCTCTGTCAGACTTGCTCGTGAATGACTGTGATGGAGCTGGCTCTTCTCAGCCCGGTTCCTGCCAGCCGCTGCGGGCTGTGCCGCAGCACCTCCGCACACGGGCACTAACCAGAGCCAGTCACAGCACCTCCGCGCAGGGGCACTAACCAGTGCCATTGCAGCACCTCCGCGCACGGGCACTAACCAGTGCCAGCCGCGGCACCTCCGCGTGCAGGCTCTAACCAGTGCCAGCCGCGGCACCTCCGCGTGCAGGCTCTAACCAGTGCAAGCCGCGGCACCTCCGCGTGCGGGCTCTAACCAGTGCAAGCCGCAGCACCTCCGCGCAGGGGCACTAGCCAGTGTCATCCGCAGCACCTCCGCTCACGGGTTCTAACCAGTGCCAGCCGCAGCACCTCCGCGCAGGGGCACTAACCACAGCCAGCCGCAGCACCTCCGCATGCGGGCTCTAACCAGAGCCATCTGCACCTTAAGGCCAGAGGTGCCCTTCCTTCTCCAGAGCGTGACAGAAAAGGGCACCCACTTCTCTGACTCAGAGTTGTGGGTTTTTTCCAAAGAGTAAGAAATATAAGCAGAATCACTAGTCTTTTAACATTTATTCTAGAAATGCTGGACTGCCCTGACCGGTGTGGCTCGGTTGGCTGGGTGGTGTCCCGCAAGGTGAAAGGTCACTGGTCCGATTCCCTGTCAGGGCACATGCCCGGGCTGCCGGTTTGGTTCCCCAGTTGTGCGGAGGCCACTGATCGATGTCTCTCTCCGTCTCTTTCTTTATTCCTCCCTCCCTCCCTTCCCCTCACTCTAAAAATACATAAGCAAGTAAAATCTTTTTAAAAATGCAATTCAAAAAAAAGAATTGTTTGAATTCTTTGGGGGCTCCAAATCCTTTTAATACTAAATGTAAATCCCTTCCCAAGAACTTTGCTATGTAGTGTGAACTTACTCACTTAAATCATTCATCTCGAATACTGAAAACAAAATAACCCTCAGATATCTAAGACCCTCTCCGAAGACGTTTCTGAAGGAGTGCGCATCTAGGGTAAATTGTTAGGTTTCATTCTTCTCTTCTCTGTCCCCAAACCACGTCACGTAGGCGAAGCCAGATTCAAACGGTGCCGTGAAAACAACGGGCGACCTTCAGGGAGAAAATGTGCTTCGAGAGGCAGCCTGTGGAGCTGGCTGCGCAGGAAGGGGGGGCCGTCCCGCCACTGCCCCTCCCGGTTTGCCCGGAGATGGGCAGTAGTGGTGCCCCACAGGGGTTTTTAAAAAACTGATTTGAGAGAGAGAGAAAGGGCGGGGGAGAGAGAGCAGGAGAGCGAGGGGGGCGGACAGAGAGGGAAACTGGTTTTGTTGCTCCGCTCATTGATGCACTCACTGGTCGCTTCCCGAATGCGCCCTGGCCGGAGATCGAACCTGCAGCCTCGGTGTATCGGGGCAGTGCTCTGACCGACTGAGCCACCTGGCCAGGGCCTCGCATAGGGGTTTTAGTTTGAATTTCTCTAACGACTAGTGATGATGAGTTTATTTTCATGTGCGTATTAATCCGTTTATATAGTTTCTTTGGTGAAAATGTCTGTTGGAATACTTTGCTCATTTTAAAGTTAAGTTGTCTTATAATTGTGAATAGGTTTCTTTTTTCCAAGTCTAATTTTTTTATTATTAGATTCAACAGACAAAGAATATTTTAATAAATATATAATCCGAACAAATAAATACAGGGAAACAGAAAATAAAAACTGTACACACAGTTCATTGAAGGTAACAAAAGGTTAGATTGAAATAGCTATTTTTCCCATATTAAATGCCTAAACACAGTTTTGAACAAATACTGTATGTACCAATATTTAAGTTATGTATAAATATTATGTTTTTAATCTGATAAATGAATTTGTTAACTTATCTAAAGTAGATTGTAATTATAATTGTATTATGAGAGATTTCAATCTCTTCTGCATACAGATAGATCCTTTAGTAGGTTAATGGCCTGCAAATATTTTCTCCCAGTTTTTGGCTTCTCTTCTCATTTTCTTAATGGTATTGTTGAAAAGCAAACGATTTAAATTTTGATGTCCAGTCTGTCAATTTTTTCTTGTATGAACTGTGTTTTTGGTGACATGTCTAAGAAATCTTTGCCTAATCCAGAGTCACAGAGATTTTCCTCCTGTGTTTTCTCCTACCAAGTTTTTTTTTAGTTTAGCTCTTCACCTTTGGGTCTTAAATCCGTTGGAGTTAGTTGTTGTTTGTGGTGTGAGGTAAGTGTTCAGTCATTTCTGTACCATTTGTTGAGACCAGTGCATTCTTCCCCCCTCTGAACTATGTTGGCATCTTTGTTAAAAACCAGTTGATCAGCACTGTGTAGGTTTTGTTTCTGAATTCTGTCGTCCGTTTATCTAGTGTGTGGTCTGCACCACACAGTCTTGGTTACTGTGTATGTATAGGAACTTTCGTAATCAGGTGATGCAAGTTCTCCAGCTTGCTGGTTTTTCAAGTGTGTTTTGGCTTTTCTATTTTTTTTTATATATTTCCGTATGAATTATGGAATGATGTTGTTGGTACCTTAAAAAAATTCTGCTGGGATTTTTCATTGTAATTGCCTTTACTCTATTGGCCAGTTTGAGAACTGTCATCGTCAGAATACTGAGTCTGGCATTTATGAACATAACATAGCTCCCCATTTCTTTAGATCTGGCTTTTTAAAAAAATTCCAGTGACTTGAAATGATGCTTTTGACAATTTTGTTCAACGTAAAGTCTTTGTCAAAGGCACTAGCAGGTATGTTTGCATTGTTATATTGTACTACCTGTAATACTTAACAGAAACTCAACTGTAGTGGAGGGAAAAACAATGGCACTTTGTAACTTCTGTTATCATGTTCCTATTTGCAGGGTCTCCAACTGAATTCCTTGAAGGGGAAATAGCCTACCAGGGATATCAGAACAACCAGAACTGGCCAGAAAACACAAACTTTTGCTTTGAACCCGAGCAAGCAGTGAATCCTATCCAGACCGGTAAGTGGGCTTGTCGGGGGCTGCTGAACGTGAGCTCGATGTGAACGGGAGGAGGCCACAACCACTGCTCAGATAAAAACATGCTAGCCCCAGAACAGGGTGTAAAGCACAATCAAGATATAGTTGTTAACCCCAAACATGGCACTGATCCTCACTCCTCGCTGTTTATCTCGTCATCTCATGCACATGTGCCTCCGGTCCTCTCCCTTTCAAAACCGGTTTTGAGTACATTAAATTTTGAATATGAATCTGAAATTCATATTCATTGAACGTTAATGCTTCCAAAAGGAATTATTATACTAATAGCACCATTTGGTTTTTTCCTTTTTATTGAATTGATTGGGGTGACACTGGTTAACAAAATTATATGGGTTTCGGGTGCACAGTCCCACGACACATCACCTGTCCACTGTATGGTGTGTTCACCGCCTCAAGGGAAGTCTCCGTCCATCACCATTTAATAGCACCATTTGTTGAGTGCCAATTTTGTGCCACGGTGCTACAGCCATTCTTTTTTGAAGATTTTATTTATTTCTTTTTAGAGAGGGGAACGGAGGGAAAAAGAGAGGGAGCGAAACATCAATGTGTGGTTGACTCTTAAGTGCCCCCCACTGGGGACCTGGCTCACAACCCAGGCATGTGCCCTGACTGGGAATCAAACTGGCAACCCTTTGGTTTGCAGGCTGGCACCCAACCCACTGAGCCACACCAGCCAGGGCGCTATAGCCTTTATATACATATTATTTTTTTTTAAAGAGTTTTTTAGAAAGAGGGGAAGGAAAGGAGAAAGAGAGGGAGAGAAACATCAATGTGTAGTTGCCTCTCACGTGCCTCCTACCAGGGGCCTGGCCTACAACCCAAGCACGTGCCCTGACTGGGAACTGAACTGGCTACCCTTTGGTTCGCAGGCCCTCGCTTAATCCACTGACTTCACCAGCCAGGGCTGGCTACATGTTGTATATGTTTCTTACCTAACTGCCAAATACACATTATCCTCATTTTACAGAATAGAAAAGCAAGACTTATACCCACGTTTTATAAAACTTCAAACTCATCTGTGGATACAAAAAGCATAAAAGCGCATCTGTCTAGACCTGGGAGCGGTGGCAGGAAGGGCCCCGGGGCAGTAGCCTCAGTGCCTCCATGTCTGAGCTAACCAACCTGAGAGCTCGGGTTTTTGTTTCCACTTGTATATGGGTTTTTCCTTTTCCTTTTTTTTTTGTCATCAAACTTATAACAGACGCAAAGCTAGTTTCAAATTAGTGAATGTTTATTGATTTCTTATGTACAGTGACATTATTTCAATTTATTTAACTTACTATTGACAATACACATGTGACTAATCGATATTCACTGGGTAATAAGGAATGCTTTCTTTGGGGTCATATTCACTGGGACCTTGAATCCTTTCTTCGCTCCAGACCCCTTTAAGATGCACCGTGATGACGACCTGGAAGACCTGCTCTCTTTCCCCAGCGCACCAGCCAATGCTTCAGCCTTTGCACAGCAGCACGGTCCCCCGGAAGGCAGTTATGGTAGGTAGACCTGCTCCAGCTGGGTGTATTTCTTAACTCGAGACAATTAATGTGGCCTTCACCCCATCCATCGCCTTCGAAGTGAACCTCGAAGCAAAGTCACCTTTAGGGGTTCTGGCCGGGACAGTGCTCTTCCTAGATCAGTCACGGGAGAGAATGAATGCAGTTGGACCGTCCGGGTTGCTCACCTCCTGTCACAGGATCTTGAATCCTGTGTCCTAGGGCCAGATTCTGTCTGCACATTTTACCCCCTCGTGGCCTTGGGTTACTCCCTGCACCTCAGTTTCTTCATCTGTGAAATGGGGCCAGCAGGAGCTCCCCCCTGAAAGCCGCAGCGATGATTGAATAAAATTATGCAAAACCACTTTGCGTCGCGCTCGTGACACAGTGAACATGAACAGACCTGGTTTATCAGTGAGCAGCCCCCTCGTTTCTGGTTTTGTGTGACTGTTAACACGAGTGTGGCCAGGATATCTATCGGAGGTGAAACAAAATCTGCTTCTGCTCATCTTAGGTTTTGAGCTGGACCCTAACAAAAAGACAGATTAACAAGAGAAGAAAAGTTTATGAACACATGTACCATACATCACACCAGAGAAAAGTAACTCAAGGTGGTTGCTTAGAATTTCTGTTTCTGTAACATCTTCAATAAAACTACAACAACAGTAAATTTGCAGAGAAGTGACAGGGAAAGGAAAGCAAGCTGAGGCCTCCAGGAGTGGCGGCCTGGGGAGGTGGACGTACGGGAGGGAACCAGCGGGTCTGTGTGCAGGTTGCTCCGGTGCCCTCTCTGGGATGGTGTGAGTTCCATCTCCAGTGAAAGGAAAATGTATATTCTGCCCCTAGGCAGAAAGCGGGGAGCCTTTTCTGGGTTTGCTGCTTCTTAATTACCTTCAACTCAAAATAATTTTTCAGTCAAAGAGGCACATTTTACATTTTGGGGGTGCCATGTGCTGGTTCCCCTCGGTACCCAGCATCGGCAGCCCGCTTCAAGCGATGTGTGTGATACAGTTCTGCGTTCGTAAAGGTCCCGGCTAACAGTGAGTGCTTCATGGGGGCTCTCCCTCGGACTCTCGGGAGGGGGCTATTCAGTGAGTTGACTTTGACGCTGTCCGGCTAGTCTCCTGGTGCTTTGACTTTGGCTTTGACTCCTATTTTTTTCCAGCTCGTTAGCTAGTGAGTCATTTAGTCGCATTGTCTTCTTTCTTTACAGCATCTTTCTTCTCTGACTTATGCTGCCCCTGCTTTTCCGCAGCGGGAACCCCCATCATTCTGCACCAGACCGCCTCCGTGGTCTCCTCCCAGCAGAAGTGCCGCTCCCCTTCAACGTCCATTCTGAGCACCCCTGCCGCGCTGATCGCCCCGAGTCTCTGTCCTGAATCTGCCGTCTCGTCTCGTTCTCCTGGTTAGGACCTTGAGGCACCTATTTGTTTTTGTTTTTGTTTTTGTTTTGTCTCTTGAAGTCTAAATTTCGCTGGCTTTCCAAATTTTTCCCCCTTTTCCCTTGCTGGTGTGCAAGGTCTGTTTGAAGCAGACAGTCTCGGTCCAAGAAACATTTTCATCTTATTGGCATCTTCGTGTTTGTTTTTCCCTCAGGGTTCTCCGTCCTTGAAGTGAACTGTTCTCTTTCTCTTCCTGCTCTTGTTTCTCCTCTGAAGCCTTTTGTGACTGTTCTGGTCCTCGTGGTTGTTTTAAACTCTTGTATCACCTAGTTCATACTACATGTTTTGTATTATTTTATCTCTGTGAAAGATCTTGCCGCTCTCGCTAAATTGTAATAATCTTGATGGCAAGGGGTTATTAAATCCCCCATTAAGTCTGGCAGTGAACACCATAATAATCCTTTGACATTGTCTAGTTGTTAATAATTTACAAAGCGTTTCCACAAAGTTGTCTTCTAATGTTCGAAAGGTAGGTATTAATCTCTTCTAACGAGGGAGAAAATTAAGACCCACAGTTCCTTGCTATATGTTATGTTGTATTTGTGATGCTGGGGCCAGAGCTCAGTCTCGGGCTTTTGCCTCTTTGTAATATACGCTCTCGGAGGTTGATCTGTGGCACTGAAGGGTGTGGCGACATGGCACAGCCTGTTCATTAGCCACAAACTGGAGAATGTCAGCGGTGCTCAACTGAAAACTTCCTTGCTTTGTTTTTCATTGGTCCTTAGGTCTCCATCTTGAAAGCTTATTTTAAATATCAGATGCCTTTCCCCCCAATGTTGACTGAGTCTTAAACACATGTTTGTTTGTGTTTCAATACTAGGTCTGTTTCCCTGTGACACATTTCCGCCTGCAGGGCTTATCCCTCAGATCTGTCCTATGGGACCCCCAAACTCGCCCCATGCTGGCGTCGTCCTTTCCCCAGAGGCCCCGCCACCTCTGCAGCCCACAGCATGTAAGTCGTTCGAACCTCCCTGTGTCAGTTTGTGGTTACAGTGTCAGCAGTCAGCATCAGTCAGCAGACGTATTTTTCAGCAGCATACAGCAGTATAGATAAAAACATTAGCATGATCACAACTGCTTTTAAACTTACTATTACTGATTTTACAGCTAGAAGAATGAAGTTGTAGTTGAGATATAAGACTTGGGATAAATGAGCAAAGAAAATCCCTTTTCAGTTCAGTGCAGATTTAAAATTCTAGGGTTCCGCAGGTCCCCTTTCTGACACTAACTGTGTGGTGTGTTTTTTTTTTAACCTTGGGTTTTTCCTCTTCTTTGCCTTTTCTCTCCACTATGTGTTCTCCCAGCAGCGTGTTCTTCTAAGTACGGGGACTGTCAGAGTAGGCAGATGCATTAACCACACAGCTTCTGAGTTATATTTAGAGCGTTAGGCTCACAAAAGCCAGATGTCCCTGTGCTCTAGGAAAGTGTGTTTTGAATGCAGAGCTGCGGGCAGACAGTGACGGGTCCTAAATTTCCAATGTGTCTCCCTCAGGGCCAGCCGAGGAGGCAGAAATGGCATCAGCAGAAGAGAGGGCACCAGTAGAAGCATTGGAAATAATGATGGGACTGAAGCCTGGTGACATGGCACCATCTGGAGAAACAGAGGTGGCCCTGGCTAAGGACATGGCCCCAATCACAGAAATAGAGGTGGCGTTGGCCAAAGACGTGGAACCACCTACCAAAGAAGATGTGGCATTCGCCAAGGACATGGAATCGTCCGTCAGGTCAGATGTGTCCGTGGTCAAGGACGTGGCTCTCCGCACAGAAGCAGAGGAGACCCCAGCCAAGGATGGAACACTATTCAAAGAAACAGAGAGGGTGCCGCTTGTAGAACTGGACTTCACGCCAGCTGAGGGCATGGGGCCACTCTCAGAAATGGGGATGACACTGGCTAAGGACGCTGTGTCATCTGCAGAAATGTCCTCGGCCAAGGAGTTGGCCTTGACCTCAGAAACAGAGGTGGCCCCGGTCAAGGACGTGACTCCATCTCCCAAAACAGAGGTGGCCCCGGTCAAGGATATGACTCCATCCCCCAAAATAGAGGTGGCCCCGGTCAAGGACGTGACTCCATCCCCAGAAACAGAGGTGGCCCCGGTCAAGGACGTGACTCCATCCCCAGAAACAGAGGCGGCCCCGGTCAAGGACGTGACTCCATCCCCAGAAACAGAGGCGGCCCCGGTCAAGGACGTGACTCCATCCCCAGAAACAGAGGTGGCCCCAGTCCAGGACATGGCTTCACCCCCCAAAACAGAGATGACCTTGGCTAAGGATGTTGTACCACCCTCAGAAACAGAGGTGCCACCAGCTCCAGTTAAGGACACGGAAGTTGTCCGGCCACAGGGAGAAATACGCGAGGTTTCCCAGCTGGAACCTCTCCAGAATGAAGGGCGCTCGAGTGCACCTGCTTCCACGATTTCACCAGGTACGGACTATGTTTACTCTCGGTATTTCTGTCGGCCGGGGCGTGGTCTCCGGAAGGGCGGGGGCAGGTAAAGTAAAGCCAGTACTTGGCAGATCTGTACATGCACTACTCTCCCAGACGGTTATTTCTCACCTTCACCCTCCTCCAGCGCCTGCTCCGTCCTCACTCGCTGCTGACCTTGGTTTTCTTATAATTCAGCATGCGGTAAGGGAGGACCTTCACACCCTCTCCTGCCTCCTCGGCCTAACTGCTCGTGTCTGGACCCAGAGACTCCTGTTGCTGGAAGGAAACACCCCAGTTTCTGGCTAAGGCCGCCTCACTATTTTGTGCTGGAGCCCATCGCTTCCTGCCTGCGTCGGCGTATTGCCCTGGCCGTCCTCTCCTTTCTTGCCTCTCTCCAGGGCTTGTCCCATTCCACTGAATCTTTCCCACCAACATACCAACATTTCTTACTTCTCCCATCTTAAAAACAAACCAACAAAAGCCCTCCCAACTGCACCTTCCTACTACCACTCCACTTGCAGCTGCCCCGGCAGGAGCCTCCCTTATTCCTCAACCGCTGTTCCTGTTTCCAGTTTCTGGAAGGTGGAGAAACAGCTGAATTGTGCTTCTCTGAAACCTGTGTGGTTTTTACTGTCATCTTTAGAACCAGTCACAGCCAGCGGCCAAAAGTTCAACTTGCCAACAGATGAGGCGTCTGTGTCGGAGAAACTAGAGCAAAAGAAACCACTCGGTAGTCAGCCTTCTGAGCTTCCTTCGGAGACGTCAGGTAAGTTAGGAGGGTGAAGCAGACCCTCTGGGACCACCGAAACTGGGTGGTGGGGGGGGTGGCAGCTGCTGTTCTTGGTGGTGTGGTGGTGATCAGCAGGGCCGTGTATGAGGCCAGGTCTCTTTTGTAGACGGGCTCTGCCTTGTCTAGGCAGCGAGTCAGCTTGTCACATACTTTTAAGTGATCACTACGTCAACTCAGGACACCTAAGTTTTAATCCAGGTCAGCTGTTCACTATTCTGTCCTGTGTGGTCTTAAGCAGGTTATTTAACACATTGTATGCGGAAACGTATTTATACGTTTTACGTTGACTGGTAGTAGAGCGTGCGATAAAAACTACCCGCAAACAATGTGTTAACTTGCCTCATTTACCCAGGAATGTTGATTGCAGTGTTCTGTGCACCCTTGCTGGTTTCAGTGTGGTTCACAGCCCAGCAGCGTCGGCGTTGTCTGGGGGCGTGTGAGGAATTCGTGATCTTGGGCTCCACCTCAAACCTTCAGAATCACGATACGCATTTTCACAAGTTTTCCAGATGATTCTTACGTACATTAAACTTGGAGAGGCACTGCTCTCAGATACTCCCTAGTTTAAAGCTCAATTATTCAATGAACTTAAAGACTACATGCTTGTTACTGTGAGCCAGAAACATGTACGTGTATGATCATCAGCTTGATTCTCGGCTTGCCTTTCCGTGACTGATTGGAATGGGAGCTGGAGAGCAGGGACCAGGACTGATTTTGCTTACGGTCTCTAGTGCTTTGCACACTCCTGCGCCAGGACGGAGCAAAATAAACATTTGTATTTTTAAAAAAATGTTGTTCTAGTGATTCAGCATACCAGTAAAAATGTATCAAGTTTTTTTATTGTGTACAAAATGGCACCTTGCTAAGGCACACAGATATTTAAGTCCGGGTCCTGGCCCTTGTGTTACTGTGTTATAGCCTGGGTGGCCGTAATCCAATAGTTCAGAATACTTCTTGAAGAAGTTCCCAGGTATGAACTCTGAAAGCAAAGATTTACATAATTGAATTAAGTCATATAACAGATGGCACCAAGTAGCTGCCGATCAATTGCTGGATTAAATGTTGTGAATGCTGTGGGGTGCAAAAGCCTAGCAATTTTTTCGAGAGAAGCGGTAATTGACCTGAGGCATTAAAGGAAGGGTGGGATTTGGAGGACTTTGGAGGAGTAACGGCAAAAACAAAAGGTGCTGTTTAAGTATTTAAATAGTCCCCGAAGTCGCCTCATTGGGTCGGACTTGGTGAGCGCCATCCTAGGCCTGCTCTTCGTGGACTCTTTCCGGGATCCTGGGTCCGCGCAGCCTTGACTTGGAGACAGGAGGCGGGACCAGCTGACTCCCTGAAACTTTTCTGGGGGTGTTTGTCCCCCGTGTTTGAGTTCATTATCCTACTTGGCATCACACGTATTTCTCTGTCTTTGGGGAAGTACATGTAGGAACAGAACATTTAAATCTAACACATTGTCTTTCAAAGTGCGATGCTCTGGTTCTGGAATGATGAGAATGTTTCTCTGACTAAAAGACTGATTCAGTATCTTTTTCCTTTTCCTTTTCTTCTTCTTTTTTTTTTTTTTAAGTAGTAGCATAAGCTGGCCCTTCTGGCCTGTTTCCCAGAATTGATCTAGTTAGTTTGATAATTAAGTAGTATAATATTGGTGACAGACTTGTAGAATTATAAACTGTCCAAGATCATACGTATTTCATTCAATTAATAAATAAATGTCACCAAAAACAGACAGGAGCTTACCATTTTATTGCAGAATTGAGAATCATGTACCTAGTAAAAATAATGACATGTAAATAAGTATCAGTTGAGATTTGTAGGCAGTAAGTGCTTATTATAGTGGTTAGAAAATCTCTGTTTCTTTTCTTCAGTTTTAAATATTTTGTAAATACGTTTGAAAAAAAATCTTTACTTGAGATGATGATCTTTGTTAAATGTTTGCTAATCCCAGTTAAGGGTGAGAAATGTTTCAGAGAAAAGCTTTTTCTAAATGAATTAGTATGTTGGGTGGTGAAAATAGACTACTTACACTGAGTCACTAAACGGACTTTTTTAAAGAAACAATAACAAAAAGTTTTCTTTGTGGAATCTTGGCCACCTCCCTGTATTTCAGGTACCCTCCCCACACAAGCCAAACCAGTGTGCAGGCCCGGTGAGCGCAGGGCCGCCCGGCCCCGGCCCGCCAGGGGCCCTCCTGAGCTGCTGGGAGGCTCTTCGCGGAAGACTCTCGACCCGGCTCTGGGCCCCTGCTCTGTGCTGGAGTCAGGCTGGGTCTCCGGCTCCTCTTCCTGTGGCGAGCCTGGGAACCCAAGGAGACCTTTTCATGTTGACTTCCTTGAACCCCAGAGGGATCTGGGCAGGGAGGCCTGGGATGTAGAAAGCACAGCAATGATGATGAAGAAGAAAAAGAAGAAACCAAAGCAAAAGAGATACTCTCCAGCCCGGGCTGGGGGGCCTTGGGACGACGAGAATGCAAAGGAGCCCACAGGCCATCCCTGGGCAGCCGACTCCCAGAAATCGGGTGTTGTCCCCGGCCAGCCCACCGCTGCGCGCGCAGAGTGTGGACCGGCACCCAGAGGGACCCTGAAAAGGGGGTGTGAAACTGACTCCAGAACAGCCAGACCGGCAGCTGAGAACCCTGTCTCAGAAGGCCTCAGTGTTCCTTTGTGTCCTTTGAAAGAACCCCCGAAAGCCACAGTAGATTCTCCGCTGAGTGTAGAGGCAGAAGTCAAGGGTCACAAGTCAGGGCCACAGAGCCAGGACACGAAATCTCTGCCACCAGGTGCATGCAAATCACAGACTGCTCCCCACCTGGAGGCTCCCAGGGATAGAGGCCAGACAGTAGGCTCTGTGAAACTGGAAGGGCCCCAGACAGAAGTTTCTGCACCCAAAGTAGAAATTCCTTTGGAGATCAGACCCCAAGAGGGTTGCTTCCCTGTCTTGGACCAAGAGGCTATGGGGAGAGTTCTAAAACCCACAGCAGCCAGAGAACTGCCCAACGTGAAACCCACTTTGTCAGCCAGTCACCCATTAGACAGTAGTCCGAAAGAAGGGAATGGTGAGAGGGAGATGACTAAGCTGCAGGTCGACGAGCACAAAGAGTTCTCTGAGGGAGCGAGAGACGTTCAAGAACTGAGCAAGGGAGCTTTTCCCAAACAAAGACAAGAGATGAGCGTCTTAGCTTCTGAGCAGCCACAGGACAAGGTTCAGGTTCCTGAGCCAGGGAGTGAACCATTTAAGAAAACGGCAGGTGATGGCAAAAGCAGGAAGGGAAAGGGAAGTTCTGGGAAAGTGAGAGCTAGTTCCGGGAAGGCGAGAGCAAGAGCTGAGCTGCCGGTCCTTCCAGACAGCCCGGGGGACGGCACAGGTGTCCTGGGGCCGGGCGAGCCAGCCCCTAAACCGGAAAGAGTGACTGCCGGGGCTCCGAGTGCGGGGCTGGGGCTGGGTTCTTCCAGGCAGCTGGGGACCGCAGCTGATCTCCCCGAGGCAGGGGTCGTGCGGGAGCCTAAGGAGACAGCTGGCCCTAGTGTGGCAAGCACCCTGCAGGCACTGATTCCTTTGGGAACTGGGTCAGGCGTGACTCAGACTTCCGGTGCCACAACAGAAAGAGCAGCCGTGGACATAGATCTGGGTGTCAGCAACCAGGGCAAGGAAGGAAAGTGTCCTTGGGTGGATCGTGAGGCAGCTCCCTGGAGTTCTGAAAAGCCTAAAAAAAGAAGCAGTGAAGGCAAAAACAAAAAGTTTAAAAATAATTACTCCACACAGCCTGCTGGGGTGGAGAGCAAAGAGGGAGTCCTCAGCCCGCCTTTCGCAGGGAAGGACGGAGGTGCTGGGGGCACTCCCCACCCAAACAGGGATTTGGGGCTCGCTTTCCCCCTGAGTCACGAGCCCTTGTGCTCACAGACTTCGAAGGCCCCCACCGTGGAGGTGACTGACCGAAAGGGTAGCAATGTTGAGGTTAATTCTTTTGAGCTTGGGGCTGCTGGTGGGAACAAGGCAGACACAGTCAAGGATCCTGCTGTTAGCGAAGCGGCCACCAAGGTGACAGACGGGAGCCGCCAAGACCAAGCCCAGGGGGCAGGACCTGTTCCTTCAGTGCTGCCGGGGGAACGGAAGACAGATGCAGCCGTGGGGCATGCTGCGGTGGCTGACAGACCCACTAAGAGGAGTAATGATGGAAAAAGTAAAAAGGCTAAAAATAGTTTTCCTGAGAAGCACATTTTGGAGAATAAGGCAGATGCGACAAAAAGACATGTTCCCATGGAAGCCATGGGGGACCTCAGAGTAGAAGGAATGGGCTATGTGGATGAAAATAGAAACATTGCATTTACCTGCCCCAGAACACCACCCGAGGTGATGACTATTCAGCCAACCCCTCTAAAGGCTCTGGATTCGGCAGCCTGTGAAAAGCTGCCTACGCCCACTCCTCAATTAGTAAAGGAAGCTGATTCCTTCCCAGACACCTTGGCAGAAAGTAGGCAAGAGACAGCTCTGGCCCAGATTTCCAAATCATCAGTGGTAGATAGTTGCAGCAAAGATGGAGTCCCAGATCAAGGGAGATCCAAGGCTCCCTCTGCTGCTATGCCCTTTGCAAACACAGGGGGAGGTGCCCTGGCTTTTACAGCGGCCCCAGAAACAGTGAAGAGTCCTGGAGATAACCATGTAAAGAGCAGAGGTGAGCTTGCTGACCCCACGAAAAATAAAGCAGGGGCAGATGGAGGGCCTGTGGCCGGAGAGTCTGCGTCCGTGCCCAGCGGTGCAGCTAAGCGTGCCGTAGAGAAAATCACAGAAGTAGCAAAGGAGCGCCCTTCTGGAGCGCCCGCAGAAGACCAGAGCCTGCCAGGTGAGCTCAGAGGCCTGGAGGTGTGTGCAGACAGGAGTGATTTCCCAGCATACCCAGTAAGCAAAAAGAAAGAGTCTGAGGCGGGTTCTGCTTCAGCGGATGTTCCGGGCGCACTGGGAGGTAAACCACAAAAGCCCCATGTGTGTGAGGACCAGCGTGCTGAAGGCGGAGAGTCTAGGGGCCCAGCTAGTCTGGATACGGAGGTGGGTAGGACTCTTTCGCCTCCAAAAAGTGAAAAGGATAAATTGGAAGGAGTTAGCCTGGCCTCTAAAGCCCCAGAAGGAGAAGCTGTTTCCTCGCCAGCACCACAACTCCAGGCGGGGTCCTCAGAGGGCCCAGCGGGCGCGACCCCCTCGAAGGGGGTAGATGACTTGGTAGTGACTGCTTCCAAGGGTCTTCAGCTCCCAGGACCCGACGGTAAGATCTTGGAGGCACCTGAGCAAATGACAGAGAAACCTGAACCAAAGGCCCTGGAGGAAGGGAAGAGGGCAGAAAAAAGAGCGGCGGAACCCATGAAAGGCTACATGAGGCCCACCAAGTCCCGGGGACTTCCTCCGCCTCTGCCGAAGCCCGCGGCGCAGGACCGAGAGAGGGCCAGGCCAGCCAAGTCCGGCGGTAGGAGCCTGCCTTGCGGCGGCGCGTGTGCTTGTGGCTTTGAGTCGCATCGGGGAGGCGGAGAGCTCACGCTTTGGTCCCCTCCAGGCTCTAATCATCTTTGTTGGTCGGCGATGTGTTGGCATGGAAAACGTGTAACTGCTAATGACATGTTTTCTGCAGCCAAGGCATGTCGTGTGTCCAGCTCGAGGAGGCTGGTGACCTGGTTGCATGCCTTCCTGCCCAGCAGGGAACCTGGGACTTCGGTGAGGCTGAATTTCAAACAGTGAATTGTTGAGCAGAAGGCCTATCACCAGCCCCTATCCTTAATTTTTTTAAAAAAAGTGTGCCTTGTATGTGTAAAATCTACAGCCACATTTTAATCACTATTCCGTGTAAGGGAGAGAAAGCATTCACATCCAGCTGTGTGTGGGGGGGATTTTATTTGTTAGTATTATACAGGGGTGGGGAGAAGTAGGTTTACAGTTGTGAGTATGCAAAACAGAGTTTATTCTTGCATTATTATTAATTGTCACATTACTGTATTGTATTAACTGGAAGCTTACGTTTGCCCACCCCCGTATATGTATCTTGTGCTGGTGGCAGTAAATATCGACATAGTTTTCAGACTAAATGAAAATGCTGGCCAGCACCGGTAGTCACAGGCTTCCTTGTGTTTCTCGTGATGGCAAGTGTCCCCCAGTGATGAAGCCGCACCACCCAGGTTGTTGCTCACGGCCGCTGGCCCGTGGTTGCCTGCGGGCTAGAGCTTGGGGCACAGTCTATGTCCACCAAACCGTTTATGTGCACGGGCACGTCTATGGAACTTGCCCGTCTGGGACTCCTCGTAATTTTGCCATTTTGGGTCTCTAATCAATTGAGTAGTTAGAAGGAGATTAAGAAAGGCGATTCCTTAAAGATTTAGAAATGTTAGCCTTTTTGTTTCTTAAACAATAATCATCCCTTTCCTGGGCCTAACCTTTAAAAAATGGTTCCTGGCCTTTGAGGTTTTTCACAGCCTACAAATAATACTACAAATAATACAAATAATACTACTTCTTTTTTTTTAAAGATTTTATTTGTTTATTTTTAGAGGGGAAGGGAGGGAGATAGAGAGAGAGAGAAACATCAATGTGCGGTTGCTGGGGGTTATGGCCTGCAACCCAGGCATGTACTCTGACTGGGAATCGAACCTGGGACACTTTGGTTCCCAGTCCGCACTCAATCCACTGAGCTACGCCAGCCAGGGCTAAATAATACTACTTCTTAATCATTGTTTCCCAACTTGCATGGTATGTCTACTAACTCAGAAATTAAGAACAAAAGAAAACAATAACGCCAGCTGGCCTCGGCAGCCGGCTCGGCTGTGGGGGTGGGCGGGGCCTGGCGTGGGGCAGGGCTGCACGGCGCGGACTTGCTGCTTCGGGTACAGCCTGTGCTGTGCATGGGTTCGTACTCAGTGAGGAACAGCCGCTGCGTGGATGGAGAATGCTGACGGTTGTTATTTGCATGCGGTACTTTCATCTTTTCTGTTTTCACGTTCCTTCTATCAGCTACCTTGTTGCCAAGGCCGAAAACGAAGTCCGGTGTAGGGGGCATTCCAGCTTCCGTTAAGATCTCCAGTGTCCTGTCCACTTCTGTAGCTTCGGTTTATGGATTGGTTCTTTCGTTTCAGCAGTGATGCGAGGGCAACTTGTCAGCTTTCTGAAGTGTAGCCATCTCTTTTTGCTCAGTATCTTCCAAGAAATGTAGAAAGAGGATTTGTTCCGATTCTGGAGGAAACGAGGCAGGTGCTGTTTTCCTCCCCGCAGACAGCCAGTGCTGTCTCACAGCCTCTTACACATCCTTCCAGACCCTTTACTGCAGAAGGAAGCAAGGCCACGGACGGTTTCTGACTTCGTATAAATGAGACACGCCACACATACTGCTGTGTGCCTTGCTTTGTAAACTTACTGGAGAGCTCTTTTCAAATCAGCACAGGGCAACAGACCATTTTTAAAAATAGCTGTATGGTGTGTCACTGTGAGGATATACCCTAAAGTCTTTTACCACTTCTTTGTGGATGGGCATCTGGGTGTTTTCCCATTTTCCTCATGTAGAAACAAGGTGCATAAACTAGACTCGTATGTACAGGATGCTGTAATGGAGCGAGTATAATAAAGGGCTGTGGGGGGCACTCCCGTTTGAGGCATATGCGTTCACAGTTTTGATCGGCGTTGCCGCGTGGTCCCCCGCAGGGCCCGAGGAACCCTTCCCCGCTGCCAGAGTGGGGGGCCGGTCAGCGCCGTGCCCCCGCTCTTCCTCCACCAGGGCGGCTTTTCTCTCTCAGGTGCGTGGGCTGATGCCATTGGTGAAAAATTACTTCCTGGCCTAGATTTTGTGTTTTACAATTCTGAAGGGGGAAAATCCAGTCAGTCTGTTTTTGACATCACATTAAATGTATAGATGACCCTAAGGAGAGGTGATGTCTTCTGTGTTGAGTTTTCTATCCACCAGCATAATAATATGGCATGTTCGATAATATCACATGTTCAGGTTTATGTGTCCTCGTCCCTCACTGGTATTTCGATGTTTTCTGTAGACAGATCCTGCGTATTTCTTGAAGGGCTCATTCCAAGACGTCCGGGGGGCAGGGGATGCGTGGAACAGAGCTTGGGCAGGCCTGGGGCTCCGAGGCAGGGGACCGGGTGGGCTGGAGAGTATCTGCATTTGTGGTGGGAGGCTGGGCAGGGCGACCCCGTACACCCACACACCACGGGTTCATGCGGACTCGGATGTTGCGCCCAGGCCGGTTCCAGACCTGGCCTTGCTAAACTTCATCTGTGTCCCTCTCCTCACACCATCCACCCGGACTGCCCTGCCCCCGGGGTGCCAGCGGCTCTCGCAGCGGTGGTTGTCATTTGCCCTGTGGCCTGGTGGCGTTAGCCACGGTTTTCAGCGTTCAGGCAGTAAAGATTTTAGTAGCATGAATAAAAATAATATCAACCCCCATCTGTTTCTTGAAGGTTATATGCCTAGGTGTCTATAGCTAGATGGGTAATAGTCACTCTCACACACACACTACAGTATTATGAGGGACTGTCCATTTACAAGTGAGAAAAAGATGAAAGTTGGCAATTAGTAATTTTATTTATTTTTTTATAATTTTCTTTTTTCTTTTTTTTTAAATAGTTTATTTTATTTTTTAGAGAGGGAAGGGAGGGAGAAAGAGAGAAACATCAGTATGGGGTTGCTGGGGGTCATGGCCTGCAACCCAGGCATGTGCCCTGACTGGGAATCGAACCTGTGACACTTTGGTTTGCAAACCGCGCTCAATCCACTGAGCTACGCCAGCCAGGGTAGTAATTTTATTTTTTAATTTAATATCTAAGCACGAACCATGGTACTTTTCTAGTTGGGGAAATGGAGACACAGCATGAGGACATAAACTGGGAATCAGAAGCTACTGGGGGATTAGGATCTAGGCCCTTTGACTCTAACATCTTATCCTCCAGGCAGAGACGTGTGTGGTTTATTCATGTGGTCTTCTCCATGCCCAGCACAGAGCGCTGCGTGTACGTGGTGCCTGGTGACAGTGCCTGAATTATGAATGAATCACCTTTTGCTTTGGAAGCAGAGAAAGTGAAAACTCTGCTAAAGGCTCTTCCTGCTTAACGTTTCCTCTCTTATTTATTCGTGTCATTCTTGAATAACACGAATAAGTTGGGGAAACTTCGGCGGAAGGTTTCTTCCCTTATTATCCACGTTGCCCTGAGCAGGGAGGATTGAGATGCTTTGGAAACTCTGAGCTCAGCGGGCCGGAAGAGGATTTCCCATGGGTCTGTGTGTTTTGTGAAGTGTTTAGGGGTGATCTCTGGTGTGTGCTCTTGCTCCCTGGGAGCCGAGGGGCCCGAGAGTGGCGGTGCGCCTGTCACGCTGTGCTCTGAGGGGGACAGTTATGGATCCCCGTGGATAAGCCCTTCCTTGTACAGTAGTGACACCCTGGTCTCCTTTTTGTCTGGCTTCATTTCTTTTTCTGTAGTTTGCCTGAGCCCATCAACTGTCTTCCAGCAGCTGGGAATGTGAGTTTATAGTGAGAAATTCTCTGGGTGTGAAACTTGAAGTGATTTATAAAGCCCAAACCTTAACAGTTTCAAGGCCCTTGCACGTAAATAAAATATGTACAGCAGATGAAAAAACGATTGATAATTTTAGAACTTGCTACTATTTTACAACTGGAGAAGTGCCCATTTGGTAATGTCTTTTCCCAACAGCAGTGCCATTTGTGAAGTTCCTCCCTTACCACTTCCTTCCCACGTAAACTTCACTCTCTGGCTTCTTTCGTCTTGCTGGCTGTATGTATATTAATGACATTTACTGCCAGTTCTGTATGTCCCCCAACTAAAAAGAAACTTGTTAATGCTCAGCACTGTCTTACATTTTCTCACCCCCAACAATCCTGTGCTCCTGTTCACCTTATTTCAGTAAGAGCATCTAAATATTCTTTGAAACAAGTGCGGCAAATACCGGTTATTCTGCTTTAAAAAGAGGTTCTTCTCATGTTCCCTCCTCCCTCACTTGTACCCTCTGGCCGACAGTAGCATTGGAGGATTCGGAAACCAATGACCAACAGCTTCTGATGTGGGGCACTGAAAAGGTACTTTTATCTCCTTCCTTAGAAGGCGAGCCAGAGTCCCTGCTTCCCGCGGTAAGGTGAGCTAGCAGAAGCTGAGCTGGAGGATGGTGACGGGGGGTGTTAGGCTTCCTTGATGACAGGGTGTTTTCCTTAAGTCACTTGTCTCAGATTTGTGGCGCGGGCCGGGCCAGTGGTGCAGCTTCCATTTTTGTAGGTCCCAGCAGTATGTGGATTGATTACCTTGGGCGAGGATCACATAAATCGGGTTCCTAGCTTTAATTTTTTTCTTTCTGTTTGTGTCCCAACTTTTTAAAGTTAATCAGGGAGAATCATGACTTACTTGGTTCTATTGTTCTAAGAAATGTTTCTGGAATCTAGTTAGAACATAGTTTTGAAGTGTTTTGCA